CAGCACAGCACAGCACAGCACTGCACAACACAACACAGCACAACTCAGCACAGCACAACTCAGCACAGCACAACTCAGCACAGCACAGCACAGCACAGCTCAGCACAGAAAAGCGCAGCGCACCACACCACACCACACCACACCACACCACACCACACCACACCACACCACACCACACCACACCACGCAGCAGGTTGGCTCTACCAGAAGAAGAAGAAGAAAACACTAACCTCATACAAATCATATATCAGATTGTTTCTTAACGTGTTGATATTTTTTCTGACTTCAGTCAATAGCTCGTTCACGGGTCGAGAAAAGAGAGCAACTACCTGAAGAACCTAGCCCTAGTGACCCTGATGTGTTCCGTGTACTCGTACGACTTGCTAACGGAACACGTCTAGAAAGATACTTCTTAAAATCACACAAACTACAGGTATGTATTACAATTATTATTTAGTCTTTGTATACACTCTTTGGAATGTGACGATTCGCTTCTCATCCGTGAATTAAGAAAACAAGCGTTGCGTAGAGGTAGTGCATTCGTTTTCAACCTTTGAAGTTCTTGAGTTTAATAGGTCTTGATTCGGGCATTCATTCCACCGCCAAAAACCAACACGCAAAATTCTGATTCGGACTGTGAGTTAGCCGTGCCCTGACTTAGATCAGCCCAGAGGTCGTTTCAGGGTTCGCTCTGTTAGTTAGCCGTGCCCTGACTTAGATCAGCCCAGAGGTTGTTTCAGGGTTCGATCTGTTAGTTAGCCATGCCCTGACTTAGATCACTTCATAGGTTGTTTCACGGTTCGATCTGTGAATAAGCCTTGCCTTGACTTAAGCCCAGAGGTTGTTTCACGGTTCGATCTGTGACTAAGCCTTGTCCTGACTTCAGCCCAGAGGTTGTTTCAAGGCTCGAGCTGTGTTTTAGCCTAGCCTTGATTTTGATCATCCTAGAGGACTATTGTTTGTTAAAAGCACCTATCAGTATGTATTCACTGTGTATCGCGAGTGACTTCTTTCCTTTGGAAAAATTAACTAATTGAACCGAACTTATTTTGTTGAACTGAAATTCTAACATAAATATTCTTTTCACCTCGCAGACATTGTATGACTTTGTTTTTTGCAACGAAGAGGCTCCTGCTGAATTTCGCCTTAGTTCTCCATTACCCAAGAAAGTATACGAACTTAACAATCCAGATTACACCTTGGAAGATGTCGGTATTTGTTCTTCTGTTACCCTCTATGTACAAGACACTACTGAAGACAGTGACAGTGATTGAACAGACAGACAGACAGACACTTGTGATGATGCCTTGTTACCTGTGCTTCTGTCACCCTCGACATACAAGACATTAGTTATTTGATAGTGATAGTACAGTAATGAAACAGATTTAATGACAGACAGACACTCATGATGACTCGCAAACTTGTGCCACCCTTTGTTTACGGAAGACAGAAGATCAGTAACTTGATTTAACCATTCTTGGCTTCCAACTACGTCATCGAACATTTTCCGAAGACTTATATACAACAAAACCTCCACAAACCGAAAGAGCAGCTAAAACTGTAAAATAAAAACGCCTTATTTCAATCGAATTTCCCTATTTCTAATGCTTTGAAAATGCGTGACAATGATTGCGTTACAGAATTTGACTCGTAATAAATCTAAAACCAAACATCAAAAATACAAAATTACTTTGGTAAAGCTTTTCTTTTATCGGTATAAACAAAATACTTTGAATACTTTGGATTTTATTTTTTTCATGGCGTCGCGTGAAAGCTAAGAATAATTACCTCAATCTTTGGTTATGTGACCTATCTATAATTCCCATCCACTTTATCCCTAGAATAGGCCCTTTGCAGCTCTGTAATCACGTGCTGATTAATTCACTGAGAGCAATGAATGAACATTTTGATTCCCATGGGTGAAATTTATTGGACTGCAAACACACTTTCTACATCCTGTTTCGAGAGATCGTAATAAAACTGTATTTCGTAACACACTGGTTACACATCGTTTCATTCAGTTCTTTACAAGTAGCTAAAAAGGATCACCAATTTAAAATAAAATAAAAAATTTTGCTCACCAGTACAGACACGTGACCGTTAACTGCAAAGGGCCTATTGAGCAGAACTAGCCTCCTCCGCAGGCACCTCCTTGGGCTTCCTATGGCATAGACCATGAGGAGACTGAGGACGAGAAGTCCAAACTCCTGACACAGGAAGCCCAAAGTCAGAGAAATGCATTCGGAGGAGGCTAGAGCTAGCCTGCGTCACATCCGGAATTTTCTTCGTAAATACGCAGGCTAGCTAGAGCAGAACAAGGTAAAATCTAGATTTTGATAAAGCTGTATCGATAGCAGTGTTTTGAGACAGTCGACTAAGTGGGCATCAATCCCAAGTGATATTTAATGGCAACTAAATAATAGACTTTAACATTAATTCAAATCAAAGTTTGCTGTTGTTGTAAATAATGAATTTATTTTAGAACGTTCATTACATTACTCTCTTATTAACAGCAAGTGATATTTTCAACAGTTTTATTATTAAATTATTAAGCTATTGTTGTTGTAGTTAATTATACTATATGTTATTTAACAATTATTCGCCGAAGGCGAAGTGAATATCGGGGAATATTTACCGAGACGCGAGTCTTCCAATATTCACTGAGGCGGAGGCAAATAATTGTTTTAGTATAAATACACAGGTGATTCTTTCAAAAGAAAAAAAAAAAGAAAAAAGAAAAGAAAGAAGATGAAAGACATTTTTTCCCGGTAACAGCAAAAAAGCGGCTGGCCGCCATTTTGGATTATCGCTGGAGGTGATTATCGTGTGATAGTGTGAGTTTCTTGACCAATCAGCGCGCGAGATTTTCAATAATCACCTTTGTATTTTTACTAAAAGGCTATAATGATGATTATGATAACCACCGTCGCAGTAGTAATCATTGTGTTCTGACCAATCACATGCGACACGGGCAATTAGAAAGGAATTCATTCTCACGTGATTATTCAGAACATGATGTTTAACATTCCAGACATATTTTAAGTGTTCATGGTTTTCTTAGTTTGACTATAGTAAGGGCGATTAGAAAAAAAGAAAAAAGGGACAGGAAAGATTTCTTTATTGAAGTATTTATTAGCAATACCGAGGTTGAATAAGACACTAGATCTAGTTGCATTTGCAATGCATTATGGAAATGTTTTCAGTAAGGGACGTTATAGACGCCATTTTGGACGTAAGCCCCCTAAAGACAGTCCCACAATGCACTGCAATGCCATCTCAATCCAAACAGCCTATAAAATATTCCTTTTTATACTTGTGTCTGCTATACTTATCATCAGTTGCTGTCGTGGGTCAACCACATAGCGCCGACAACACTTTTATCCTGGGCGGATCGAATTGCCTCATCAAGTGGAGTGGATGTATCCCAATTAAACCTCGATCGGGAAAGATATTCCTTCCATCTCATCCTTTTGCAGCCCCTTCTGTTGCCCAAGGGCTTCATCTGCGGTAGACGTGATTGAATCCCAGATGACGACATTCTGGCCACATGGCCAAACCATGTGAGACGCTTTTTCTGCTGCTCGTCTAGCTTTATTTCATGCCTTTCTGTCTATCATTTCCATCTGGGACTCGGTGAATAGCGCAAGGGAGCACGTTAAAATTTTGATTGTGTTGGTTTATCTTCGATTTTATCGCACGTAATCTAAGATATGGCAGGCGTTCCTTGTAGTTTTTGTTTATGTGCGCGCGCTACACTTTATGGCATGCGTTCCTTGCTTTAGTCGGGCTAGCGAATTTACTCCGAAAACCGACGAATTTCTTGCGAGGAGCGGAGCGACGTGTAAAAAAGGACCCTCCTATTACACTCGTCATTCCCTTCCTTACACGATCGTAGGCCATTCGGATCGGCCGAAACCAAAACACTACGAGGAACGCCTGTCACAAGATGGATTGCGCGCGCTAGATAGATCAACCAAGAACAATGACTTTCCTTACACAAACAAAATTTTAATGTGCTCCCTTGAATAGCGCCTAGAATAAGCATTATTGAGTGTACATGAAGTGGCCGTCAGGATGACACCTGGAAAAAAAATGCACAACCTGAAGACATTCGCAGATTATTTATCATTTACATCTGATCCAAATATTTTCTCCCTTCTAAATTCCGAAATAAAATTTATGTAACTGAAAAATGTTTGTTCTTTGCCTTTTTTGAATTAAAAATGGCATCAATTAGAGCAGTTTGTTCCGTCATGGTATTGCTTTCAATGTATAAATATAGGCCATTTCACAGATCCCGCGGCTCAACCTCGGCCTCGTCAGCGTGTAATATATTCTTTAGAAATTGTCTACAACCTGTGAAATTTTTAAGTGTTTCAATTGTTCGTTGATGTGTAAATTCCTTTCATTACTGCGGACTGTAGTCAAATTCTAAAGAATAATTACACGCTGACGAGGCTGAGGTTGAGTAATACAATTTCAAGGCTTTTTATGATGTAATTTATTTTCTGGTGAAAACAACCGAAGAAAAAAGCCACCATTGTCGCGCAAAGTTGTTTAAGATTTTTGGAGATTTTTTTAGCGTAAAAAGCCGTTAAAACTATTTAAAATACCAGCTGAAAAAATGAAACGTTCGAAAGCACATTTCTAAAAGAAACTGCTAAGTTAAGTTGGAAATATTTTAAGGTGGCTGACTACTTTTGAACGTTCGATTTGAGCCCACGATGTACGCGCGCTCAAAAACCACTGAATAATTTTCTCGATTTTCTCGAAGAACCATACACATTTTGAACTTCAAGAGGGGGAAACCCTCAAATTTTGCGCGGGACTCTATGCTTTTTTGTTATTTTCCAGAATAACAGATAATATCCCTTTATTTTTCAAAGTTTAATACAATTCTGTTTATTATAACAATGTAAAAAATATCGTTCTGTTTGTTTTGTGCTCATAAATTTTTACGATATCTTGCACACCGTAGAAGCTGAACAACAAAAATTCCATTGTCTACAATAGTTTATTAAAACAACTTTTATCAGTATCTTATAAATATAGTGTAAGTTACGTGTTCGGAGAAAATTACTCATGTTTCTTCCTTAGTTTCGGTTTTATGATTTTTTTTGTTCAGAGCTCGTGATTTTCGCTATTTTTCTTCCAAAATTGTACAAACGCATGTCATTCCGGAGTGATTATCTCAAAAAAAGTCGGGACACCCCATTTTACTTTGCATTTTTGAAATCAACATACAATTTTAGGTTAAGGTGGCTGACTACTTTGGTAAATAATAAACAGAAAATTGAAAATTGAAACTTTTTTAACCAGAAATTTATTCTGATTTCACAAATTGTGAAATATATTAATAAAAAGAAAAATATCAATAAAGGATTGTGTGTTGAAGCTGTCAGCTTGTTTCAGTTTTAAATTGTTCAAATTGACTGCTACACAATAATGCACTCCCACGTATTATTTTTAGTTCAAAACAGAAATAATACTTATATACTTACTGTGATGATGTTGGTAGTATGCTTTACTTTTGAAACCAAATTTTTATTTTTCAAAATAAGAATTATTTGCTCGAATTAAGTTCAATGTCATGTACGCTAGTTTGAATCGACTACTTCATTGTCGGCATGCGTTTTTAGCTGATAAAATGCTGTCTAGTTTGTTTTATCAAAAAAGATTTCAAAAAGGATATGATTAATTGGTAACAGAACTTCGTGTCGTGCAATTTTGGTCTGAAATCCAGGCCCGTAGGCTGGGGGGTTCGGAAAAGGTCCGGTGTCCACCTTCTTTATCAATGAAACTGTCAAATCGTTTATTTATAAACGAAAAATGAATGTGTGTTGTACTGGTCAAATTCTCACTTAAATTTAATAGAAGTATATTGCATAGTATGTGTTGAGTTTTCTGTAGAGCAGCAGCATATTCTAGCGGGAAAACAGATGACGAGAGCGTTATTTGAACTGAAACTGGCGCAACGAGCGCTAATGCATATAACGACAGCTATTTCAACTTTGAGTCCCAGAGTCACTGGAGTATTGTGACTTTAACTTTGTTTTGTGCGTGAATTCCAACATATACCTCGTGAGTGTTTATCGTTAAAAAGAGGAAACTGAAAGGTCCCCAAAATGGAAAGACGAACCCCCCTCCCCATTTCTAAGGCAGCCTGGAATCATAAGAGTGATTAACAAATTGCACTCTCGCTACGTGGCCGTGCAATTTTGTAATCACTCGTTTGATTTATGACCAAATTGCACTCCACTCAGTTCTATTACCTAATCATATGCTTTTAATATTTCCCATTTGATTTTATATTGTTATTTTTATAACCTTAATGCGAGATGTCGAAAACTTCAAAATAAAGTAGTCTTCAAAATAAGGTTTATTTTATTGCCCCAGAAAAGTTTCGTACATTCAATAAAGCCTCCTTTGACGTCACATCATTAACATATTGGGAGTATAAACCTTGATATCTCCAAGATGTATCACTCAAACCATATAAAAATCATTTACTATTCAACTTTTCACTTTATTTAGAAGCAATGCTGAAAATTTTGAATTAGGAGTCATAGGCACTTTAATGTTAAATGAGAAAGGTAAGTAAAAAGAAGACGAGAACGAGAACGAGAAATATATATATATATTAAATCACAATTTTCAGATTTTCAGCTGAATCAAAAAGGCTCTGTTCCACTTGTTTGCTTAGCTATTACTCAGCTGCAAGCTGCAACTTTCTCTGTCTCAACAAAATTAGCAAATAAACTTGAAGCTGATACTTCCACTCGGAAATCAAGAATCATTCATCTTTATCTAGCTGCATCCGCTCTTGGAATTCAATATGGCCGCTGGTGTTTCGATTAAACAGCTATTGTTCTTATTTGCACACCTTCTCGGTCGCTTATAAATATTGTTGACCAAGCTGCACAGATGAAAAAGTGTGGGTAAACCGTTATTTGTATAAAAGAATGCTGCTTGAAGAAGCTTCTTTACTTGAGTCATATAGCCAACTAAAACATGAAGTGGATTTGGGCTCTAGCGTTTTTGGTTGTCGTTGCTGCCTCCAACCCAGAGGGTAAGTCAATATGATATTTCGATTGTATTACCCAGAAAAAATTATGTTCGATTGTTGGATCATCAAGGTCTCTCGAATTTTGGTCATCGAGTAAACTTGAAACTTTTGCGGCAAAATCATGGCATCATTTTCCCGCCAAAAATCTAAACATTAAAAAACTAAAACAAACAAATTGTGAGAGCATTTTATGACCAAGTTACTGAAATTGGAATTGGAATTGAAATGGAAGAGTCATTGCAAAATGAGATATTTTTAAACGGTGTCTTTTGGCCCGACGTGAGTACACAGCTGCATGAACTCACAGATGGAGCCCTAAAACAATTAACCTCTGGGCTTATCTTATATCAAGCCAGGGTATGACTGGCTAACTCACACCTGAAACATCATCTGCGCGATGCGCTAATTAAATTAATCCAGGGCACATAGCTTGTTAAGTTTTGCGCAAGCAAGAAAAGCATAGAACTACATAGTGCTATATTTAAAAATGCCATCGGAAGTAGAAAAATAATTTTAGTTTAAGAGGGTATATATCTATCTAGTAAAAATTGTTTTCTTGCTCTTCAGAGGAGGACATTGATCCAGATACTTTTGAGGGGGACATGATTCTTACTCCCGAGCAGAAAGCAGCAGCTTTGAGTGGGGGTGATGTCGACGCCTCTATTGGCAGGGGTTCTACCAAGGGCAGACAATGGCCTGGCGGAGTCATGCCTTTTGTGATTGATGGTGCTCTTGGTAAGTTAAAATAATTGAATAAATAAAAATAAGAAGTGAGAGGTGAAAAAAGGATAAAAAGATGGCAGCCTGGGCGAGTGAGGGAATACCTTATTTTTCTCGGAGAAAGACCTAAATCCGTAGGCTCTGTTTCCCAACATTTCCTAACCTGCATTAAATGGGGGACAAGAAAGAATCTGCTGATTTATTCGTGTAAGAGTAGGGGAATGTCTCCCGGCTTAACAGCCTATCCCTGTCTGGAGGCATAAACACTACTATACTAAGAATTCACTCATGATTGTAAGCTGTACGGCTGCTAATATGAGCGCCTTCTTATGCAGCCCGTAATGTCCTCCACTGTTCATAAATGTAGAGCGCATTGAGACGATGTGAAATTGCGCTATATAAAAACAGAACCTCCATTATTTATTATTTATTATTAACGAGACGATAATAAACTATAACGCTCTTGGTAAACGAGAGATTACGATGTAAAAAGAGAGGAACAAGAAAACGAGTGAAAAGAAAACGAAAAAAGATACCAAAGTAAGAGAAAAAAACCTCGAAACACAGGAGAGAACCAACAAGCAACTGCAGCTCACATACTAAATATCGAACCTGGGTCGACTTGGTGATAGGCGAGCTGGCGCTCTCACAGCATCGAAGGCCACCCGTTTTTCCAATTTAATTTCTATTGAACTTGATAGACTTGTGTTTCTTTCTGCCATCAGCTCGAGAACCCGTAGCAATGGCGGCAATCAACGGTGCATTTCGTGAATGGTCGTCCAAAACTTGTATTAGATTCAAGAAGAGAACCAACGAGTACGCCTATGCTTACTTCCAGATAGGATCAGGGTGAGTCTGAACCTTCAATAATTGTTTTATATTGATACTCTGAAACTACCTCTGGGCTGATCAAAGTCACAGGGCACGGCTAACTCACAGATCGAAACCTGAAACTACCTCTGGGCTGATCAAAGTCACAGAACACGGCTAACTCACAGATCAAAACCTGAAACTACCTCTGGGCTAATCAAAGTCACAGGGCATGGCTAACCCCTTAGAGAACCTGGAGGAAAAAAATCCTCGAATCAATGGAGGGACCTAACAAACCGGCTCTACTCACATGTGATGTCGAGTCCAGGAATCGAACCTGAGACCTTAGAGATGGACACCTTCCTTGGTTGTCACGTTTTATGAAAAGCATACATGTATCAAATTCATATTTAATTATCTGCAAGTATCAATAATGCATTTGTGATGGTATATATTATTCGAGTATATTAATTTCAAGTTATCATGACATATTATACGGTGGTGCCCTTGCAGTTCCGTTAGATAAATAAAATAAGTGTACTTGGCCTAGATAAAAATATCTAAAAATCATTGATTTTGTTTGGCAGCTGTTCGTCAAGTGTTGGTCGCACTGGAAAGCGCCAGACCATCAACCTTGCTAGTGGCTGCTGGAAAGTTGGCATTGTGGCTCATGAGATCGGTAAGACCACCTAGGCAATCATTAATAGCGGAGATCCCGCGCGGAGCACCATACTTAAGAAAAAATGGTAAACCATCGAGTTGATTTTTCATGACTTGGCTGACATCACTTCCGTCCATCCGTACGTCCGTGTACATAACACAGGGATCCCACTTGATGTCAAAGCAAAACTACTGCAAATGCGGCTCTCAAATGCACAGAAAACAATCGCTTCAGGACAAATTATAGGCCAACAACAAATATTAAAAACTTTCATGTAGTCAAAGATGGAACAAGAAGTGTTCTTCAAGAATTCAGGTGTATTTTTTTAGCAAACAATCGTATATTATTCTTTTTTATGACAAGCATTTTTTTCGACGAATCCACAAATCAAAGACTTTCTCTCAAAACTTTTGATATTTCTATAGATAAGCTTAAATAATTACAACAATGATTAATTAATTAAAACAAATATTTGTCCTTTGTTTAGCATCGTAAATCTTTAAAAATTCGGTTGATTTTAACCCACTATCGTATGTTTTTCGTTCAAGAAAAATGCAGCTTTGTTCGCCTCCTATCGCGGGTTCCCATCGGCAAAACAAAGAAAACGTTCATTCAATAATTTAATATCTTTCTACAGATAATTTATTTAAATATTGAATGAAATATAAAATTACACCAAATATTCAATTGTTTATTAAGCTGTTCGAGCTAGTATGGTTATGCGAATGAGCTTAAATTCGTGTTGTTGAGAGATGTTATTGTGAAAGACCTTGTCTACTTTAAAAAGCTAAAAAAATATTCAAAAACATTTACAAATGCAAATTTACAGACAAAGAAATTGGGTATTTTGTATTTTGCATTACTTTCTATTTTGTCTCAGTAGTTTTTGTCAAGTTAAACTGAATGCAAACTTTGTTTTTCGAAAACTTTTGTTGTTCGTGATTTCTGTATCTTTCTCACACTGGTAAAATCGAATCTAAAAAATCTAGCAAGCTTAAGTTTTCAAGCTTCTTGAAAAGTAGTTAAGGCTTATATGGAAGGAGTAAAAATATTTTTATGAAGAACTATTAGAATCAGAAAACTATTCTTTAACTGATGACACATTTGATTTTAACGTTCAGGGCCTTCGTTTCTCAAGTTTAGTTAGTTAATGTTCTCCAACCAATTTTCTCTCTGATGCTACCAAAGCATTTGTTTTTTATTCGCATTGTGGTGAAAATGCATTTCATATAAAAACATCAAAATTCCTATGGAAAACCAAACATGTTATGTAAAAGACAAGCTTACTTTTTGCTCACCTCAACCAGTTTTCAAGTCTGTTTTATAGTCTTGATTTGTCCTAAAAAAAATTCGGGAATCTCCAAAATTTCGATTTCAATGAAAGACATCCAAGGTAAATTTCACTAAACCTGATATTGTGTTGGATTATTTGTAGTTATCTTTCGTTTTTTTTAAATAAAATTAATCAGGAATTCAAAGCTTAAAAATGTCGGCCATGAAAACCTTTGTCGAAGAATCTTCCAAAAACAAAACTAAGTGGGAGAGTATACTCACGCAAAGAAAACAATGTAGTGCATTTCGATTCGATTTCACTACATGGTTTTTATTATGGGAGACATTGTCTTCATCTCGAATGAAAAATGATTCAAGATTTTTTTCCCGATCTTATTTTTACCTTTCAGATTCATTCAAATTGGGCTCCCCAGCCTGTGACTTTCGTATCGGGAGCTCAGCTTTTAGACAGTGTCTAAATGCATATTACGAAGACCTCTCATGGATAAGGCATTTTCCTCACTTGCAAACGTTTTACTGTCATAGAAGTTTTGATCTATTTTTTCATTTGATGACCAGGTCACGCTCTTGGTTTTTATCATGAACAGTCCAGACCAGACCGTGATAACTACGTCACTATTGTGTGGAATAACATCGTTCACCGTAAGAATTCATGTTTTTCTTAGCTTTGTTTTATGTTATTTTCTGTTTAGCTTTTGCTTCCTACCTTAATCCACTAATCTAGTTATCAAATGGATAAGATGAAAACTTAAGCTCTGTGTGGCACGTTTTTACTGTATTGACGTTTAGTCCTTGGTCATCACTCAATAGATCCTTCCATCCACCCCACGCCCTTTTCTCCCTCCCTCCCTACCTCCCTCTCATTCCATACGACCTCCCTCCCATCCTCGCTCCCTCCCTCCATCCCTCCCTCCCTCCATCCATCTCATTCCATACGACCTCTCTCCCTCCCTAACTAGCTTTGTGTGAAACTCACTAAATTCATTGTTCATTCTTTGTTTCTTTCTTGTCTCTCTCTTTCTTTCTTTTTATTCAAATATTTTCTTCTTCGCATTTTTCATCCATTCATCTTTCTATTACCCCTTCCAATGAATGATTACCGTTTTCAGTCTTCTGTCATTTATCCACCCGGTTAACTCAATTTATTCATTTATTAAACAATAAACATAGAAAACAAGTTCAATTTTGAAAAGTATAACCGTGGAACCATCGACACCCTTGGAACACCATATGACTATGGATCATTAATGCATTATGGTAGTCGAGCCTTCAGCAAAAACGGACAACCAACCATTGTTCCTAAAAGATCTGGGGTAAGTAAACCTAAGTGATCTCTCGACATTTAACTCTAACGCCAGTTTTATAAGCAGGTACGGTAAGTCTAGTACTAGGGTTAACCCGCCAGCTAGGGTCAATAGATAACTCCGCTATACAAGGAATAAATATAGGTAGGTTACCCTATGTGTACCCTCGGTGTGTTTTTCAAAGAGTTTAAATTGCACGAGATGGTATGTCGAGTGCAATTTCACCCTGTGAAAAACGCACTAGTGCAAATTAATCTTAAAATTGAACTAGAAATCGTGTTATTACTTTGTAATAGCATACAGTAAAACCCCTCTATACCGGACAGTGCTGGGACCGATAAAAATTTCCGGTTTAGCGGGGATTCCGGTATACTGAGGTTTTTGCAAATTACTTTTGCTTTCGATTTGAATAGGTGCGATATCACACCTATTGAAAATATGTTTGTCTAATCGTTTGGCGTCAGTATAAACAAACACGTAAACGAAAGTTCAAGTAAAAATATCAACAATAAGATCAAAAACTAAGCAAATTTCTTAACTTTTTTTCAAACGAACGCCAAGAAGAAACATTCTTCTAAACCGGTCTAAGTCCGGTTTCCGGAATAGAGAGGTTCCGGTTTACTGAGGTTTATTTTACAAAAGATATATGGGTAAAAATTCCGGAACAAAACCTTTGTCCGATTTAGAGAGAATTCCGGTATACTGAGGGTCCGGTATAGAGGGGTTTCACTGTACACGAAATAAAAAAATACAAAAAATACAAAAAGGTACAAAAGAAAGAGACGAAAATATGTGTAATATTCAACGCATAATATTTTATGAAATTCGTTCGTTCACAACCAACTATATTCAAAGTGATTTTGGTTTCAAATACATGTAATTCAAAGAGGTTTTTTAAATCTATTTTAAACCAAAATTTGGCTATATATGTTGATTGAAAAAAATTATACCTGACAGGTGTTGAACGTGTTCAGAAAAATTTGCGGCTCAGTTTTGGAATTTTGTAGACCAAAATATTGCGTAAGCACTTACTACTTAATGGTCTTGCTCATATTCTTTTTCGTTTCTGTTTTCGGCTTTTGCTATACTTCGGAAAAGAATCGCTGGAGTATTTTTTTTAGATCGACTGGCTCATTTCCCTCAATTCATGTGATGGTTTGTTTTCTTCTCACTATTTCTTTCATGTATTCAGAAATAACGATGTATTTTTACTCGTGTTTTCTTTTTTGAACTGTTTTTTAGTTGTTTGATGGTAAAATCCGTAAAATCTTTGCTTACTTTAACCTAAAATAAAATGAAATAAAATTTTTGATCATAAAATTCTGTCATCTTATTGGCTAAAATCATTTTCTATTGTTTATTATCCAATCAAAAGCGAGAATTCCGTTTGTAACGTGCACTTAATTACACTTTTTTTGCAGTGTATTACGTTTTAACAACACTGCTCTAAGCCAATCAGAATTTAGTATTTTCTATGTATGTTATTAGAATGGTTATCGCATGATCATGAGTAGGAAACAAACAGTACTGACTTAAAGCACGTACACGGTTCGACATGCCGTAACATTGAAATAGTTTCCCATTGTCTTTCATTAGTTATCCAACAAAAACGCGTAGTTTCGGCTACACGATACGACATCGTTTCCCATTCAAAAGAAAACCGCTCTAGGATCTGTTGGCTTTCCTTGGCCTTTAAAACTCCCATAGCACCGTTGTAATCATAAATTTATCTAAGATTTAACAGTTAATATTGTATCATTCGTAGGTCACTCTCGGACAAAGAAGAGGACTCAGCGCTATTGATGCACGGCAAACGAACCTTCTGTACAAGTCACAGTGTAGTGGTGGTGGAGGCGGCGGCGGAGGCGGCGGCGGAGGAAGTAAATGAACACCGTTATATTCAACTTAAGATATGATAAAGATACTGGGGTAGTGCTTGAGACAAAATCCTGTGAACTGTCCTATATTGTCTCTGTATATATCCAGAATTTTCCATGAGGCGGTCGACTCCTCATTACTGAACCTTAACACATCGCACCGGCCCCCACCCCCTCCTAAAACAAAAACAAAAATCATGCTTGTCACTATTACTTTGAAGGAGGTTGAACACAGGCCCCATATGACCTTACCCTGGATAAATATGTCCTTTTGAGAAATGAGCGTTTGATTGTGCAACAAAACTGAGAAATGCGTTGTAAGGGGCATATGGGCAAAGATAACCTTATTTGAACTACAACATAGCAGCATGGAAATATCCTGATCCATCTTTTTCAACATACACCCAATTGAAGAATCGTCGTCGGGTTCAGAAACATAGAACATAAAAGCTGAGACCAAAATGGCACATGGGAAATGACATAATTATATTATAATTTATTCATTTGCGCCATCCATGCAGTCGGTTTAGAATGCCAAACGCGTATTAAAAAAAGTGGATGATGCCACGGGCCGCCGGTCACAGCATGCATCTGATTAACGTACTTCCCATGTGCCATTTCGGTCTCAGCTTCTATGTTCTATGTTTCTGTACCCGACAACGATTCTTCAATTGAGTGTATGCCTCTATCCGATCTCTCCACTTCAAACGCATGCAACTCTGTAACTTTACAGAGTGGTCACATGATTTCATCCATGGTGGGTTTTTTTTCAGGCTCTTGCGTCGATAAGGACAACAGATGCAGAAACTGGACCAACTTATGTTCATATCATCAATATGTCCGAGCAAACTGCAGGAGAACATGCCGATTTTGCTAGAACAGAATTCAGCATGACGTGTGTATCCGAACTAATACAATTTGTCATCTTGTGATTGAATACTGTAAAATCTGATGTAAGCGGTAATATTATAACTTGGAAAGGAAATCAAAAATACAGCATTATAAATACCATTTAACTGTTGTTGATCGATAAGTACGCACTGAGAGACTATGTGATATACATGTATATCTGCATGGAGGGTTGGGAACTGGGGTTGGCTAAAGGATCTGAGCGACATGGTTTCCCTTAACTTCCCTGCTAGCAGAGCCTATTTTCCTTTTGTTTTGGTTGAGAGAGAAAATTAGACTCTGCCGATGTAGGACGTTATTTCTGTCGCGCATGCGTGGCGTGTACTACATGTACCTGGTTAAAAACCGATTTTAAAACTGGTTAAGTTCGTCCACAATCGTGGACGGCCGTGTATCAAAGGAAACGCTCTACATCGCAGAGTCTCCCTCCTTCCGCCTAAAAGAAGGGAGAGAAAAAGGAGAGACGCTGCTAGCAGGGAACCCTTAGGAAGAAACTAGTCCCAAATTTGCAAATTGATTTAAATTATAATACAATTCTAGCTATCTATCGTTATTACTATCACTGAGCAAGGAGACAGGTTCTCTTAATGTCATAACCTACCATCCTTCCGGTTCCCTTTCTTCCAAAACTCAATAGTTATTTTTCTTGTACGTGGGCTGAGGCTGTTACAAGTCCCTAAAACTCACTCTGAAACACATGGCAAAAGGGCTTTTTTTCCATCGTATCAGCTAAGTTATGGAACTCGCTGCCAAATGACATCAGAATATTAGAATTTAGCATATACCAACTTGTGTACTTCCCAAGAACGCGCGCGCTTATTGGTTAATTGGAGGTGAATATTGTACGATATTCACCTATGAATCTCGGAAGATTAAGTCGAATTGTCGAATTGAACCGAATAAATAAAAATTCGGATTCAAATTTATCCGGCATAATGTGGACCTTATTAGAGACGTTTGCAGAATATTTAATCGCCTTATACATAAGTTGATATTTACATAAGGGAGGGGGTGTCATAGTTTATATCCCGCAATGAGTCATGAGACATGCTCCTTCGCCCCCCTCGTGACTACACGTGGGTTTAGTCGATGTATTCTGCAGCGCCATTACATCAGTCAAAATAAACAGATTATGACGAAGAACAACGGGATATTAGCTCTACTGTGGATCGAAGAAAACACAACTCGAGTGCAGCGCTAATAGCGCATCTAAGTACATGAATAGTATTCAAAAAACGATTGAAGAGCCTGAGATGTTAAACAATTTTCCAAATGTCCAAGTGCTTATAATATTAAATAATATAATATTGAAAATAGATAAAAATAGAAAACACACCCCATCACAAAAAAGAACACATAGAAATTAGTAAGAACTGAGATTGGGTAATGAGTAGCTCAGTAACTTTCGCCCAGTATTCAATTTGAAGTTCATTGCGAAGCTCATAGGTTGCTATCAATAGACGTCACTTCCGGTAATAGCTCTTTTTTGAAGGCTTGTAGAATCCTGGAGGTTGTTTTGATCTCTTGTTTTCTGGTTTGATGTCTTGAAAATAGTCAAATACAATAGTTTGAGAACTTATTTTGATATGTTTTGACTTAGCATCCGCTAGTTGCCCCCCAGTCAACCGCTTGTTTGCCCCCCAGTCAACTCCAAAAAGTCACGTGATTGATAGTAAGCAATAGAAAGGGCAGTTGCTCTCCAACTCAAGGCAGTACCTTGACGAAAATGGTTTTGCTTGGAAAGTACCAATCAGGCTACAAAACAGTTCACAGCACAGCTACGGCTACGCCTCGTGGATCCACACTACTTTGACAATGTGATGACGCACTTTATCGTCAATAAGAGGACAGACACATAAAAATCTAATGTCAGTTTGTTAATTGTATTTGTGTGTTTGACTTTGCATTCGTGTATCGCACCTCTGGGCAACCGTACATTTCAACTGATGATGCCGACTAAAATCGAAAAAGGTTTTGCAAAAAAAAAGTCGCCCTGTTTGATGATGTTTGGCTAAATACCGAAATGACAGGATCAATCAACATTTTCTACAATTTCAAAGCTTTTTATGATTTGTTTGTCCAGCTATTCAAAGCTAAGTGAAATTGAAAAACTATTAAACACCATGCTCTTTTAAAATATTTCCCATTTGATTTCATATTGTTATTTTTGTAACCTTAATGCGAGATAACAAAACTTTAAAATAAAGTCTTTGCTATGTCTGCCATTATGGAATGTACTAACTAAACCCATTAAAGTGCCAACTTAGTGATAATTGCTATTCAAACAACGAAACAAAAGATCATTTAGCAAGATTTTAAAACTGTCGTGATGAGGGACCCAAGGTGGAGCATGAAAACGGACAAACTGACATTTTTATTGAATTTTTTTTGTGCTTGGTATATTGTTTAAAGAAAAACAAATTTCTACCTTTAAGACATTTTTATTCTAAGCTGGTTCAGCACTGCTACGATATTTCCGGCATTCAAATAGTGGGGACTGGCCATGGGACGAGACTTTGAATATAATCGCGTGAATTAAAATAGGAAAATAAAAGTGGGGTTCCCGGACTTTGTTTAGCCGTCAGAATGCGCGGAAGTTACCCCTTTTCACGGTAAAAACGTGCGAACAATGTAAACATGATAAAAAGCTGTCAAATAAGCCATGTTTTACTGAAAAAATAAATCGATCGTCCCCTTTTTTCACAGGAGTCTAGAACATAACCAAATATTTAACTAGAATTTGAAACTTGTCACAGGGGGCAGAGGGGGGCCACTTATCTTTCATTGTTTACGAAATTGTCGCTCCGCCATCTTGTTTTATATTATTTACCGCTGTACATAATATGAATAAACTTGAGCCCGTCAGATACCGCGCGCGCTGTGCTTGCCTTAGCCTACAGTGGATGATTGCTTGAAAAAATTGAGAGCTTTCAATATTTTTAGATTTACGCACAGCGCGCAATCATCCACTGTAAGTCATGTAAAGGCACAGCACAGCGCGCGTGGTATCTGACGGGCTCAAGTTTATTCATATTATGTACAGCGGTAAATAATGTAAAACAAGATGGCGGAGCGACAAGACAATTTCGTAAACAATGAAAGATAAGTGGCCCCCCTTTGCTCCCTGCGACTTGTTTTAAAATTAGAAATATAAAATGTTATTGTGCTACAAGTGTGGAATTGAAGCCTTTGCGTTACGTGGAATTATATTCCAATTATACACAAAATATGTAATTTCGATCTGATCCAATCGTCAGATTTTTTAAATTTTTCCTCTAAAGCTTGGTATTACAATGTACTTTCAAAATAAAAAAGGGGGTGCCCGTCTTTGTTTTAGAGCTATAAGAGATTAAAGGAATTTTCATGATTTTTTGGTTATCAAAACATCAGCTAAACATCCGGAATGACGTTATCACGATGAGCGCTCGCTAACTGAATTCATGAGTAGAAAGGATCCGTGCGAACAATATGCCCATCAACGTCTCTCATACTATTTAGTTGGCGCTGTTGGGCATAATGGAGAACCCACTAATTCAGCTCTTGTGTCAATGTCCGCTTTCTAATGACCCATTATATCTCCTGGTCCAATTTTCGGCTTCATTCAATTGTACCCCATACATCAACCATACGATTTTATCTTGACGCAGTCTATAATACTCAACTCAACTTAGCAAAGTGTTTGTTCGTTATTATTGACTATACTATACATATATACTATACTCATGAAAGAGTTCTTAATCTTTTTGGTATTGGCGAGAATTAAACTAACACTTAAAATAATTTATAAAGTTAGTTCACTCCATTCATGCATTGATACATATATGCATATAACCAACTATAGAGGTATACATTCCCAGCCTATCGCTAGTGCCAACGTAAGGACTGTTACTATATTTCTGAACGAGAACGAGAACGAGAACGAGAACGAGAACGAGAACGAGAACGAGAACGAGAACGAGAACGAGAACGAGAACGAGAACGAGAACGAGAACGAGAAATATTAAAACTCACAAGATATTTTCGGATTTCCTCATTCGAAATGTCTTGCGGTTCATTTGTTTGCTTAGCTATTACTCAGCTGGAAGCTGCAACTTTCTCTGTCTCAACAAAATTAGCAAATAAATTCTAAGCTGAGACTTCCACTCCGAAATCAAGAATCATTCATCTTTATCTAGCTGTATTTGCTCTTGGAATTCAATATGGCCGCTCGTGTCGTGATTAAACAGCTATTGTTCTTATTTGCACGCCTTCTCGGTCGCTTATAAAAACTATTGACAGAGCTGCACAGATGAAAAAGTGATGGTAAACCGTTATCTATATAAAAGAATGCCGCTTAAAGAAGCTTCTTTACTTGAGTCATAGCCAACTAAAACATGAAGTGGATTTGGGCTCTAGCGTTTTTGGTTGTCGTTGCTGCCTCCAACCCAGAGGGTAAGTCAATATAATATTTTGTGTTGTATTTATTACTCAAAATAATTGTTCTCTTCGGTTGTTGGTTCATCACCTCAAGGTCTATTGAAAAGTATCGGCTAATTTGGACATAGAGTAAATTTGAAACTTTGGCGCCAAAATTGTGGCATCATTTTCCCGCCAAAAATCTAAACGTCAGAACTCAAAAACCAACAAATTGTGACGTGCATTTCATGGCCAAGTTTCAGAAACTTTTTAATTCAAATGGCAGAGTCATTGCGTGCAATATTAAACATTTTAGGTGTCTTTTAATTTCGCCCGACGTGAGCTGAGGATACACTGAGCTGCTTAAACTCACATTTCGAACCCTGAAACAACCACTGGGCTGATAATCGATTCCGAGACTCCAGAGATTAGAGGCAATCGTACTACCGCTACGCCACCTATGATCCCCAAATTAGTTTCCTAGTATTAAGTGCTACCGGACTAATAAATCCCATCGGAAATGGAAAAAAAATTAAGTTTCCAAGAGATACCTTAGCTACGATTTTTTTCTTGTTCTTCAGAGGAGGACATTGATCCAGATGTTTTTGAGGGGGACATGATTCTTACTCCCGAGCAGAAAGCAGCAGCTTTGAGTGGGGGTGATGTCGACGCATCTGTTAGCAGGGGTTCTACCAAGGGCAGACAATGGCCTGGCGGAGTCTTGGCTTATGTGATTGATGGTGCTCTTGGTAAGTGAAAATAATCGAGAAATGAGAAAAGAAGAACATAGAAGAACATTTAGCTTATGAGACTGATAAGCTCTGATACACCTATTTCAAAAAACGTTTCCATCGCAAAAGGCGAAGGCCAATAGGCGCAAACCAATGGGATAAAGGTCATTCCAAGATCCGAAAATAGTTGGTGTTTAAAACTGCATCGTATTCTTGTCAAGAATATTAATCTAGTGTTGATTCAATGTTCTTTTTACTTAACAACGTCCATTAATTTCAATGTCGGAGTGACCTATCGCTTATCGCCTTTGGCCATAACAACGTTTTTTGAAATGGGCGTATAGGATAACGCTCTTGGTAAATGAGAAAACAAAGATAAAAAAAAAAAACAAAAAACGATTTCATAAAAAAAAAAAAAAAAAAAACGATTTCAAAAAAAAAAAAAAAAAAAAACCGATTTCATTTGCAATGATATACTTTCCTTTTCCCACCAGCTCGAGACTCCAGAGCAATGGCGGCAATCAACGGTGCATTCCGTGAATGGTCGTCCAAAACTTGTATTACATTCAAAAAGAGAAGCAACGAGCAGGCATATGCTTACTTCAAGATTGGATCAGGGTGAGTCTGAACCTTCAATAAAGGTTTCGGTTGCGGTAATAAATAAAACATGTGTACTTGACCTAGGTAAAAATATATAAAATTAATTAACTTTGTTTGGCAGCTGTTCGTCATACGTTGGTCGCACTGGAAGGCGCCAGGACATCAACCTTGCTCGTGGCTGCTGGCACGTTGGTATCGTGGCTCATGAGATCGGTAAGTTCACCTAGGCAACCATTTATATGATGACCTCTCATGGGAAAGGCATTTCCCTCCCTTGGAGAAGTTTTACTTTCATATCTTGAAGTTGTATTTTAAACTTTTATTTCAGGTCACGCTCTTGGTTTTTATCACGAACAGTCCAGACCTGACCGTGATAACTACGTCACTATTATGTGGGATAACATTGTTGAAAGTAAGAATCCAAGTTTCCTTAGCTTTATAATATGCTATTTTCTCGGTTTTGATTTGCATCTAGTTATGAAGTGATTAATATGAAAACGTGAACCCCTCCTAACTAGCTCTGTCTCACATATTTTCTTCTTCCCATTTTTCATCCATTCGTCTTTCTATTTGCCCCTTCCAATGAATAATTACCGTATTCATTCTTCTGTCATTTATCCACCCGGTTAACTCAATTTATTCATTTATTAAACAATAAACATAGGAAACAAGTTTAATTTCAACAAGTATAATCGTGGAACCATCGACTCCCTTGGAACACCATACGACTTTGGATCGGTAATGCATTATGGTGGTCGAGCCTTCAGCAAGAACGGAAAACCAACCATTGTTGCTAAAAAGTCTGGGGTAAGTAAATCCAAGTTATCTCTTGACATGTTATTCGTACTATAGAACACATACCCATGGCATTCTGATATGAGTAAGCACATACACAGTAAGACATGCATGCCGCAACACTTCTTCCCATGATATTAATGTTTACCATATGAGCACTAGGAAAGAAACGGTACTGACTTACAGCACGTACACGGTACGACATGCCGTAATATTGAAATGGCTTACCATTAGAATGGTTATCGTGTGAGTGGAAAACGTATTTACTTACAGCACGTACACGGTACGACATGCCGTAACATTGAAATGGTTTACCATAAGAATGGTTATCGTGTGAGTGGGAAACGTATTTACTTACAGCATGTACACCGGTACGACATGCCGTAACATTGAAATGGTTTACCATAAGAATGGTTATCGTGTGAGTGGGAAACGTATTTACTTACAGCACGTACACGGTACGACATGCCGTAACATTGAAATGGTTTTCCATTGTCTTTCGATTCATTAGTTATCCAACAAAAACGCGTAGTTACGGCTACACGGTACGATATCGTTTCCCATTCAAAAGAAAACCGCTCTAGGGTCTGTTGGCTTTCCTTGGCCTTTAAAACTCCCATAGCACCGTTGTAATCATATTATTTAAGATTTAACAGTTAATATTGTATCATTCGTAGGTCACTCTCGGACAAAGAAGAGGACTCAGCGCTATTGATGCACGGCAAATGAACCTTCTGTACAAGTCACAGTGTGGTGGTGGTGGAGGCGGCGGCGGAGGCGGCGGCGGAGGCGGAGGCGGAAGTAAATAAGCATTATCCATTATATTCATCGATCTCATAAGATATTAAGATAAAGATGGTACCGTGGGCCAGTAAATGAGACGAAATGTCGTCTCCTTGTCTGGTTGCAGGGTGTAGTGACGTATCCAGAGTTTTACGGAACCTTTAGCACATCTTTTATTCATTCCACCCCTCCCCTTCTAAAAAGAATCATGCTTGTCCCTTACAGTTTGAAGGAGGTACAACACAGACTCCATATGACCCTACCCTGGATATATACGCCCACGGATGCACAGGGGAATAGTTTTGAGGCACCGTTTTTTATAAGCAGACGGAGCTGCGGCGCATATTCAATTTTCTCGTGCAGAAAACTGCGAAGGACGTTGCGGGGAACATATGGGCAGCGTAACGGTATTTAAAGCGCAATATAGCACAGTGGAAATATCGTGATCCAGGATGTTCAATAATGGATGGGTCAATGGATGCGGGTCAATGGATAGTCACTAACTTCAATGTAACCCTCCCTTCTCTACCCTCCCCCAAAAACTCATGCACGCGCACTTACAAATAAACTACCACCAATGGGAAGGGAGTCATTTCTACCGAGTGGTCACATGATATCATGCATCCTTGATCTTTTTTCACAGGCTCTTGCGTCGATAAGGACAACAGATGCAGAGGCTGGACCAGCTATTGTTCGTATCATCGCTATGTCAGAGCAAACTGCAAGAAAACATGCCGACTTTGCTAGAACAGACTTATCATGACCTATATATCTTAATACGACATTTGGTCCTTGGATTGAATACTCTTATATCTAGCTAATGCATGTAGTAATATTATAACTAAGAAACATAATCCAAGAATAAAGCATTATCAAATACCAATTAACTGTGATATATATCTGCATGGAGGGTTGGGAAACTGGGGTTGGCTAAAGAATAAATCCCATGCAATGTCAGCTTAAATCTGAACGACCTGGCTTTAGTTAAAAGGGCTGCCTACTATAGAAAAAATCTATGAAAAAATTGTCTAATTATGATATTTTACCGACCAAATTTAATGCTGATTTCAAATCTGGAAAGAAAAAGGGGGTGTACAGAGTTCGTTTTCGAGATATTCACTATTAAACATAAGCGTATCAACAACTATTGAAGAAAAGAAACGACAAACAACCGGCTTCATACGAAAAACGTCATTGTTAATCAAGCTTTCATTTTCCCCCCCAGGAATCCAAAATTATACATCTTTTCACAAATATGATATATGTGATAAGATTTAGAAAATGTGGGAAATATATTAGTGAAAATAGCTTTTTATTCGTCTTGTGTTTGATATTTTTGTCTAAAACGTCATGCAAAAAAAAAAAAAAGAAAAAATCATCTCAAGGCTTGTAGCTTCTTCCAAAAATTGTGCATCCCCCCCCTTTTCTGATAAAAATTTGCCCAA